GCCCAAGATCGCCGCGGGGGTTTTCCCGGAAAGCGTTTTTCGCGAGCTCGAGCCTCGACATGAGGTCTGACGTCGCTCTCGCCTGCGGCACGACGCCGTCTTATGGTTCGCGACTGTCGAAACTCGCGATTTTCATAAACTCACAACTTGGTAGCAAGCTCACAACTTGGTAGCAAGCTCGCGACTTGGTAGCAAGCTCGCCACGGGGCGCCTGCGGCGCTCAAACTCGCCACGGGGCGCCTGCGGCGCTCAAACTCGCGACGGGGCGCCTGCGGCGCCGAAACTCGGATACCGGCCGCCGTCCCAAACTCGCCGGTTTTGGGGCAGTGAAAACTCGCCGTTTTGCAACGACTTGCCGGCGACCGAGCGGTTGATCTACGGGGCCATGCTCGCGACGGCCTAGCTCGGCGGCGGCCTCGGCGGCCTCGAGCGGCGCGCCCGCGTCCGTTGGCGCCGCGCCCGCGAGGACAGACGCGACGACGAGGCTCGCGGCGCCGACGGACGCGCGCGCGCGCGCGCGAACGATCCCCGACGCCGCGAGGCTCGTTTCGGACGGTTTCGCGGGTTGCAGACCGGGCTATCGTCCTCAGAGTCGGGTCGAGGGTTAGTCGAGGGTTAGAGAGGCGCTCGCTGAGGGTTACGGCCATCGCTAGGTGTATTGTTAGGGGTTAGGGTTAGGGTTAGGGTTAGGGTTAGGGTTAGGGTTAGGGTTAGGGTTAGGGTTAGGGTTAGGGTTAGGGTTAGGGTTAGGGTTAGGGTTAGGGTTAGGGTTAGGGTTAGGGTTAGGGTTAGGGTTAGGGTTAGGGTTAGGGTTAGGGTTAGGGTTAGGGTTAGGGTTAGGGTTAGGGTTAGGGTTAGGGTTAGGGTTAGGGTTAGGGTTAGGGTTAGGGTTAGGGTTAGGGTTAGGGTTAGGGTTAGGGTTAGGGTTAGGGTTAGGGTTAGGGTTAGGGTTAGGGTTAGGGTTAGGGTTAGGGTTAGGGTTAGGGTTAGGGTTAGGGTTAGGGTTAGGGTTAGGGTTAGGGTTAGGGTTAGGGTTAGGG